TTAAATTTTTGAGGTAACTGAATACTGCTTTCCAAAGTGGCTGCACCAATCTGCATTCCCACCAACAGTGCAAAAATGTTCCCCTTTCTCCACATCGTTGCCAGCATTTGTTGTTGATTTATTTATGAGAGCCATTCTGACAAGTGTGAAGTGATATCTCATTGTGGTTTTAATTTGCATTTCTCTGATAATTAGTGAAGTTGAGCATCTTTTCATACGTCTAATGGCCTTCTGTATGTCTTTTTTGGAGAAGTGTTTATTCAGGTCTTTTGCCCATTTTAAAATTGCATTGTTCGTTTTTTTGGTATTGAGTGTTATAAGTTCTTTACTAGCACAGTAGAGACAGACGCATAGAGAGCAGACTTATGGCTCTGGGTAGGAGTAGTGTAGAGGGTGGTGGGACTGAGTAAAAAAAAAAGGGACTCATGGACATGGACAACCGTGTGGTGATTGCAGCAGAGGGGAGAGGGTGGGTGGAGGTGAAAGAGGGGATAAGGATATGGTCATGGAAAATGGAAATGGAAAAAATACAATAAAAATAAATTTTAAAAAATAAAGCTGGAGACAGTGAAACAAAGGAAGGGCTTAGGGTAGGAGAAGTAACAGGAGAGAGCGCAGGCAGTGCTCTGCTTTGGCTCCCTACAAACACTACAGGGAAGAGGCGAGCTGTGGCAGGGCTGCTGTTAGCTCATTGAAAAGTCAGAGAAAAGGAGGCCTTGGACACAGGTTTGGGGGTAAGCCCAGAACAAGCTGCCACTGTCCCTTGCTCCCCTGGTCGCAAGTCTCACGGAGAGAAAAGTTCAGGAGAGAAAAGTGAAGATGCACACCTGAGAGGGAAGAAAGGCATGCTCCAGAGACCCTTGCTAGGTTTTTGTCATGAGGGTTCCTATCTATCATCTAAAGGCAGGAATTTTAGGGGAGGTCTTAAGGGAGAATCTCAATAGAATATTCATCAGCTTTATGCTAAAGTACCAAAATGAGATTTATTCCACTGACTTCATCAGTCCTTGGGTGTGGCTGGCACAAAAAATGCTAATTTCATATCTGTTCTCTATCTCCCCAAGTAGAGTGATTTAAACCATTTACCCTCTGGTTGGGGACAAGTGTAAACCATTTACTCTGAAGTGTCCTTGGTTAGGGAAGATAGCATTTTGTGATTTACTAGATGGTTGTAAACTGCTTGACCCTTTAACTATCTGTCTTAGTTCCCTTATTTCATTTGTCCTGACTTACTAACCTATCTCACATCATAATCAATAGTTGGCTGCTTCCTTCTTAAAATGCTGACTTTTCCTATTATGGCTTCACTTGACTCCTAGCATCCTTTGCTGGACCCTTTCCTTTTCCTGGCCCATCAATATTAGATGCTCAGAGCTTAGACCTGGGCTGTGTATTGTTTTGTTTGTTTGTTTGTTTGTTTGTTTCATTCTACACTCTCTCCCTAGATCATCTTATTCTCTCTTATTGTTTATTTAAATACATTCTACATACCAATGATTTCTAAATCGAGACTCTTCAAGCCTAGACTTTTCCAGACCCTTATATCAAACATTCCCTTTGATTGTTTCACCTGTCTTACAGGCATCTCAAATTTGGCCTTTCAAAAATTACTTGCCTGATCTTTCCCCCGATATTACTTCTCTTCCCTCAGTGCTGCCTATATCAGATAATAGCATCTCATCCATATAGGTCATCATGTCAGAAATCTGGGAATCAACATTTCCACTATCTTCTCCTCAACTCCTATAAGCCAATCTCCTTACTAAGTCCCATGGAAACTCCCTTCAAAATAAATCTTGGATCTTTCCACTTCACTGTGTTTTCACTTCCACCATTTATCTACGCTATGTCAGCTGACGATGGTCCAAGTCGCCATCCTCAGCTGACAGAGCATAGTCTTTAACTGGTCCCATTGCTTCCATCCCCTGTGCTAGCAGCACAGCTACTACCACCACCATGGGCCTCCCTTGCCTGGATAGCTCTAAACTAAAATTTCCACTTTCTGAGTCCCTTTTCCTAACCCTTCTTAACCCCTTCTTGAGATTCATTAATGGTAAATATATTATTAGCTCCTTAAGGAAGTGCATTAATCTCATTCATTACATAAGGATTTTACTAGTTTAACTCTCATTGGTTACTTTACTTCCAAGGCTTGCAAGAAATCTCATTTTTTGGGTTTGTTTTTATTTCTGTTTTTGTTATTGCTGTAAATAACCAGGTGTGGGTAATTGAATAGCTGATGACCAAACAGAGAAAGCTGGAAATCAAGATTTTTACGATTGTTCTGAACTCCGGAACACTAAGGTCTTCTGGCACTCTAATTTTTCTTGTTAGTACACTGTGCAATCCAGACTTGAAGTAACCCAGCATCTGTGATAAGATGTTCTCTAGGCTAGCGTCTCCCTTCTTCTAGATATGTGACCCTGGATGATATGCACCTCGTAAATTAGTTTCTAAATTCCAAATAAGTTTTCACAGCAGAAATTTATTGACAACTTGAAGTTGTTTTCAGTGAGAGAGTGCCTCAAATAGCTGTGCTGGTTGGGAAAGTCAGGCAGGGAGGCAGAGAAGCCGTGCCAAGCAGGCCACCAGCAAAGGCAAAGCCAGCATTTTATCCCTTATTCAGTAAAATGCCTAGAAAAGCCTGTTCCTCACCACTGTGAATGCTGGTCTCTGTTAGGAAATTATGTAGAAATGTCACAACAAGTTGTTTAAATACTATAATAACAACTTACTTTTTTTTATCTTAAAAATGTCAGTTTCTTGGGAATGCTATCAACTTGCCCTTTCAGCTTTTCTATAAAGGATCCTAATCACAGGATATATTTCTAAATTTGTCTCCTGCTTTTTCAAATCTCTTTGCTCCTTCAAAACAGTTTCAAAGTATTATTGCTCAGGAGAAAATAAACACTTCTCCAAATGTGGCTGTTGTGTCGTTATTTTGATGACTTTTGCTTTGGCTCTGGTACTCTACTGTCTTAATTTAAAAGCAAGAAGTGTCTACTGCAAGTAGCCCTCAGCTCTTAAGCAATTCTGTTACTGAACAGAAAAAGTTCACCCACATGGTGCTAGCAGAGCCAAACCCCTAACACTGAAAACTGCACTGGAGAAAGATAGGCTATTTTATTACAAATGGCATTACCCAGGAGAATGGGAAACTAATGCTCAAAAGCCCAAACTCCCTGATGATGTGTAGGTTACAGACTAAATAGGGCAAAATTACAAGATAACATGAGTTAGGGATTCATGCTGGGAACTAATTGGTGAAAGTGAGATAAGGATAATAAAGCATTTCTTTAGGTCTTGCAGATAGCTCTGAGGTCTGTTTCGGTGCCCCTCTGTCTGGTGTCATGGGAAAGTAGCCAGGGGATAGTTCTACCTTAGGGCTCAGGAGCTAAAACATAACTCAGGTCAGGATGTTCTCCGTAGCCTGCCAGAGGTCGCAGACTTGTGATCATTAGTCAGGTCTTCTGATGCTTTAGGGTTGCTTAGCATCCTGGTGAAAGAACAGGTCTCTGAGGGATATGAATTCCTGGGATTTCCTCCATCCTCAGCTTTACCCACTGAAAAGACATGCTTGGGAATCTATATGGAAACTCCACAAGGCAAGGAGGGAAAGGGGAGGTTTTTGTGTTTTATTGAGAATTTTTATGAGTTTGTTTGAGCCAAACTGACAATATATGCCAGGAGCAAGATTCTCAAATACTCCTGAAAGGTGAGTTTTAAATTCAGGTACATGAGTGAAGGCAGGCAACTCCCATTTAGTCATCTCTCCAAGCAAGGCCTGCTCAGGAGCTGAGTGCAGGAGCTGCTGGAGGAATCAGCCAAGTACAGCCAAGTTTTGTGTGAGGTTTCTCAAAGCAAAGAACAGAACTGACTCTGTAAGTCCCCTGCAAAAATCCATCCCATTGACTTGTCACACCTTGCAACACTACCCCTCCACACATTTTTTTTTGTCATTTGTTCTAGAACTTGTTCCACATTCATCATCAAATATTTTTTGACCTCCTACACCATACAGAACATTTTACCAGGTTCTATTTAAGAAATGGAACCTTGCCTTCAGTGGGCTCCCAATGCATTGGAGAAAGGGTTGAGAGTCCAGGCCGTGTCCCATATGTGGGGCATGCAGTAAGTGCCACAAGGAGTCATCTTCAAGGGCTGGGGAATTCTCCTGGAGGAGGTAAAAGGATCTGGCAGAGTGAAAAAGAGGCTACAGGCAATGAAATGGTGACCACTGTTCTCAAAGGAGGTACAGTCCTTTGTGAACTTAGCCGTGTCCAGTGAATAGCTCTCTTCCGTTAGAGTAAAACTTCACTGTTTCCGAAGGGAGAGAGGCTCGAAGGAAGAATTTAGACAGAAATCCTGCGTCTATCATAAGAAGCAGAGTCGGTTAAGAGAAGGAGGTTCCCAACCCTGGCTGGGTAGCTTAGCTGGTTAGAGCATTGTCCTGATGCGGGTTCCGTTCCACCTCAAGTCACACACAAGAAAGCAACCAAGGAAGGCATAAATAAACGGAACAACACATTGACGCTTCTCTCTCCCTTTCTCTCTCTCTCTCTGTCTGTCTCTCTCTCATCAATCAATCAATTTTTAAAAAGAGGCTGAAAGATTCCATATCACAGCTTCTTTGCACTAATGCACCAATTCGTTCATTCACTCCTACTTGTGCCAGGCACTTTGTTGGATGCTGGGGCCACGGGGCCAACATGGACTTTACATCCCCGTGGCGCCTGTTCCTTAAGTGCAGGCGGTGGCAACTTTCTAGACAGCATGTTTGATTGGCTGTGAGCCGGATCCGGGCTGGGGACCACCTTCCTCTCTCCCTCCAGCCTCGGGAGCGCCTGGAGCTCTCTCTCCCTGGAGAGCCGAGCAGCCCCGCCCCTCCCCGCGAGCTCCGCCCCTCCCCTCCCCTCTCCGCAAGCCCCGCCCAGGCCGTTAGGGACTAGGGAGCCCCGCCCCTGACCGGGCTCGCGCTACCAGCCCAAACCCGGCCTTCAGCTTTTTACCCTGGACCTTTGGCCGGGCAGCCACTAGAACCTCCGCGCGTCCTGCGGGCTGCAGCCTTTTCAATCCGGGAGGCAAAAGCGACATGGCGGCGGCCAAGACCGAGAACCTCTCCCTGGTGGTACACGGACCCGGGGACCTGCGCCTGGTAAAAAGGGAAGGGGAGTGGGGAACCTAGTTCTACTCTACCCCTCTGGCTTCAGAGCCCAGCCACAGGCCAGCTCTCCAATTCCAGCCCGGCACCGGCCCTGCACCTTGCGAGTCCTGGACACTTAGATCCCAGATGGTTACCATGTTTCAGGAGGGGGGCAGTTAGTGGTTAGCGGTAGACATTTGGTTCTAAGGTGCTAAGAGCAGGATTCAAGTCGCATGCCTTGCGGACCTAGCCCAAGGCTGGCACGTGGCTGGAGCGCTGGTAGGTTGCCAAATGATTTACGCCTGCCTCCTCCCTCCGTTGCCAGCTAGTCCACCTCTGTCATTGCACTTTTCAGAAGACGTACCAGGGAGGCTGTTTGACTTAGGATATGCCCTAAACTTCTCCTCTGGGCAGACTGTGCAGGGCAGAGAGGAGGGCCAGAGGGACATTAAAAAGCTATAGAACTGGTATTTAATCTCTCTTGCTTGGGGCTGATAGAACCTCCTTTGCAGGATTATTATGATAAGGACAGTACTCAGCATTTACCAAGTATTCACTTCCTTCCTCCTTTTCTTCCAGCACAGGCCTCTGTCACCAGGACTCCTGGTGTTCGTTGTGCCTGTGCCGCACTTCTGGATCTTGAGAGTCTCTCTGCCTATAAAGCTCTTTTCCTCCTTACTTCCCTTAGTCAACATCTGGTTTACTTTCTAGCCTTTTTCCTTTCTCATCCTGCACCCCTGCCCCTTTAAGAGCATTATGTATATGTCTTCTCTACTCAAACCCTACCTCTGCCCTCTGGCTCTTGAAGCCAAAGTTTTGGGAGCTGCAGAGTCAGCCTTGGGATAGTGCCAGGGATCCCTTGACAAAGTCCATCTCAGATAGGCCTGGGATGGTGATAGATATGTGGGATGAGTGCCTTCTATCTCTGCTGCTTCCTAGCACTTCCTTTCCCTGCAAAGAGAACATGCATCACCAGGATGTAGATTGGAGAGACCCAGGAGATTATCCAGATTAGCAGTTTTTGATTAGTTGAGAATCTGTGTTCTTTCTTCCTACAGAATGCAACAATTTCAGACTTCCTATAAGCACTCCCCCGCCCCCCGCCATAGATTCTCTAGAGGTCTGTGGACCCCAGACTAAGAACTCCTGCCTTGAGCCAACTCTGTATTTCCTTAGTTAAAGTAAATTGCATCCCCAAAGTGACAGGCTTGTTAGAACCCAGACAAGAATTCAAAGGTTCAGACTCTCTTTCCAGTGTTCTCTTCACTTCCCCTAGAGCCTCTACTCATGGTCCTGAATTAAAGTGATACTGTTAGTGTTCATTGCTACCAGCACCATATGGTATTATGAGGAAGGAAAAGTGATACAGCACTACACAACTTACAGAGTGATTTCAAACTCAGTCCTTTATTCCACAAACATACACTAGATGAGAGGCTGCCTTCCATGTGCCAAGCATGGGCTGGGGACCCAGACAGGAGGAGGAGAGGAGGACACAGCCTCTAACCCCAAGCTGCTCCAGGGAGACAGACAGATGAAATAAACAATAAAATAGTGTGAGGGCTTTGGAATAGTGTCACAGCATGAAGGCCTCCAAGGAGGGGACCTTGGCCCGGGAGGAGGCCCTAGAGATGAATACTGCTTGAGCTGAGTCTTGAAGGTGTCAATATTAAGAAATGTCCAAATGGCATATGCCAGGGCACAAGATCTAAAATCTTTCTGAGAATAACAGTTTTGCAGTTTTTAAAATGCATTTTAAATTAAGGGGTTAACAAAGGAAGATTACAGGAAAATGGGAGGAAGCAAGGTGGGGATCGGATTACAGGATAGTTAATGAGGTTTTGTGCTCTCTTGAGGGTGGCCTTCTTTAGAAAGGAGGGGTCTGAAAGGGTGGTTATATATTATAAGGAGGGGTCTAAAAGGGGGTATTGCAAAGGTGTGTTAACCTAAATGCATAGAAACAATGGACAGGGCTCTCTTAAGGCAAAGATAAGCCTCTTACTAAAGAAGTTGTATACCTGGGATGTGACTATTCACCATGACCTGTCCAGTTAGGAATTTAGGATCATATCACCCTGTGAAGTTACTTTCCAAAGAAGCCCTTTTTCACTTACAATTTCCCCTTTTGGTCATAAAGCAATATGAAGGATATATTCATGACCAACCTTTTGATCTGATAATGTGGTCTCACAGAGCTGGGAAGATTTGTTCCTAGGAAATCTCAGTATCTACGTCATCTTATTGATCATTGGGGATGGAGCAATACCTTAACCATGGGATATGAGTTGGGATGGATTTTTCCCAAAAAGGGAAAGGCAGGTACATGGAAGTCAGTCAGGTCTTATGGCATTCATTGCAAAAAACACTCTGGATTATTGCTGTCCTCTGAACCTTTATGATCTGAGTTTTGCCTTCTGTCTCATTTTGCTGTGTCTGGCATCTAGTATAACATTTATATAAGCCATGAGAAGAGTATTAACAGTTATCTTACACATGTTCAGTAATTGTAAACAGTTGGACTATATAGAAAAATCCAAATAATAACTATTCGTATGACTAATATCATTAGCAAATAGGTAAAGACAAACAATTAAGTCTGAGTTCAATACCAATCCATAGTTATGCAAGCTCTGTCCATGTCTTGGGATAGCTGCCTACCTCTGATGTCATCAGCTTCTCATTCTAGAGGAGTCTTTGATGTCCTTTGTAGGCAAAGTCAAGTGTCAGAGACAGAGGTAGATGTCCATTTATGGTTAGGCCCTGATAAGATCCCTTCCAAGCAGGTTGAAGAGTTTCTTCTATTTGATGTCTTTTCTAAAGAACAATATCTGAAGTCTTTGTCTCCTGGGAGCTTTCTGTGAAAGGAAGCAGTTATAGACTGCATTTTCTTGAAGTGACTTTATCAAACATTAACAGTAGTATAAGATGTCTTTCAATAGTGTCAACTCATAAGTTCCTTCATCAAAGTCTGGCTTAAATGCACTTTGATGCATGAAGGAATGAAAACACTGAAAAATGGGAAGCCAGGGAGCAGGGAAGAACCAAGTGGCCCTCTTGGGTTTCCCATAGCCCTGACTATTCATTTTTTAAAATCACGTAACCTCTAGAAACACTTCATAGACATCAAAGTCAGTTAATAACATGGATTTATTTTTGTAAAACCCAGATGAAATACAGACATGTCTGTTTTATTTAAACCAACAAGGTTAAGATAGCCTTTATTTACTAAGGATTAATCTTAGATCATCTGAACTTGAAAAGCATGAGTTAGTTTCTCTATATATGAGAATTTTACAATATCCAATTTTTACAAGTGCTTCACAAACTTTGTGGATGTTATAGTAATGTCAAAATCCTGTAAACATTTCTAAATGCCCGTGTCGATTCTTGTACATAATGCATTACATATCAGTAATAGTTTGGCCATACCAAGGACACTTTATCTCCCTTATTCCTGATAGCCAGCTCTACCAGATTTTAGGTACAAGCATCTGGATAAGGAGAACAGGAACAACACAGTCCCTATGTCCAGGGAGCTGAATACCATGAGGGTTATCTGTAGGATTTATATATATCTCCAGTCATTGATGCACATCTGAATGTTTCATCATTAGGTGTATGTGGAGAGAACAAGTTAAAGGGAAAATAATAATTTTAAGATGCTTGGTTGATGTTTAATTATAAAAAGCAGAGAAAGCTATGTGCCAGGATCAAGTTTAAATGTCATAAAGACTTGAGTTTTTGCTCTTTCAGGAACTGTATTATACCCTAGGTCAAAAGAATTACTTTGAACCTGTAACAATATTTTAAAAACTAAGCTAATTCTGTATCTGTAATATAACACATTTAAATTGTGCCCTTCCTGGCATATACACTTTACTGTTAAGATTTCTGGGTGAGAAGGAAGAGACTGTAGAAAGAGGGGTCCTTGAACACTCATAGCCCAAGTGGTCCTGAGCATCATGTCTCTCCCTGGTCTCCCTGGTTAGTTTTGCCACCAGCTGACAGAATGAGCAGCTTTGATATGATCAAATTCATATCTACCCAAAACAGGTAGATAACAGGAAATTAAATCCAGCAAATATTGCTATGGAAGGGCAGTGCCTTTGTCTGCAAAAGCTAACATTTTCCTCTTTTTAGAGGAAAATCAGGAGGAGCAGTACACAACATCATGAATAGGATTTTAACATTTGATATAGTAAATTTTAGTACTACTAAGAGACGAGGTAAAAGTTAACCCTATTCTGAAAGGGGAAGCTAGAATTAACGGGTGTGGGGAAAGGCTCTCTTTTAAAATTGCATGACAGAAGTTAATGTGGAGAAAGCCTGTCCAGCCAGCTCAGTTGGTTAGAACATTGTCCCAACACACCAAGGTTGAGGGTTCAAACCCTGGTAAGGGCACATACAAGAAACAACCAATGAATGCATAAAGAAGTGGAACAACAAAGTGATTTCTCTCTCTCTCTCTCTCTCAAATTAAAACATTTTTTAAAAAGAAATTAAGAGGGAGAAATGTGTACCCATATAACTGGAGAAAATATGTTCATATTTTGTGAAATGACATCCAGTTCAACAGTTTTTCTTTTTTCCACTGTAAATGTTCATTTGAGGGGGGTACCCATTCCCCACAGAGTCCCCGTGGGTCACCGTGAATGAAGGGAATAAAATAAGTTGTTCCAGACACTCTCAGTCTGCCAGAAAAAGGGGGTGGCGATTCCCTCTAGTGGAGAATGCCCTGAGCCCTTCTCTTGAAGTGGCTTTTATTGAGGACGATATGCACAGGGGTATACAGCATGCACGCAAAGCTCATCAATCAATGTCAAAAGGCTATGTTTGAAGGAACACAGAGATTTGTCTCAGGACAGGGTCTGGTAGACAGGCTGGTGCCCAGTTGGCCCTGAAACCTGGGAAACTGATCACAGTCTATGCTCAGACTCCAAACATCAGTAGTCATTAACTCGAGGGCATTCTTAACAAATTAAGTTTCATAGGATTTACTGCATTCCTTTTCT